ATAAAATTAAACAAATACATATAAAGTCATATCAAATAAATTAAGTTAAGATACTGATAATGTTATTTTAGGGATAACTGATTATATTTATTCAGGGAAAAATTAAAAACATACACCTAAGTTATATGGCTACAATCATGTTGTAAGATTTTTGGTGATTGTCTATATATTGAATCTTGCCAGTAAAAAGTTTCATAATTTGTTTTAACTGTCTACACTACTTTCTATGCCTACAAACTGAATGTAATTTATATAATTTTTTAAAAAAAGTAATATTTTAATAGGGTGCTGCAATTACGAAAATAATTTTTAATACATAATTTTAAATACATTTTGAAGCACAAACTGTAGAAGTGTTTAATTAAAAATTAACTTTAGCATTTGAAGCCAGAGTGAAATGTTTAACAATAGTTTAATCTGTTTAACTTGTACGGCAGGAAGTATGTATGAAGTACGGCTATTTGATTCAAGAGTCAAGCTAGTGGAAAGTTCTTTCCAAATAACTCTGCCCTATTCTAGGGAAAAGGTAAAAGGTCAATCTCATAAATTAGAGATTAAATCTTAGATACTTTAGTTAATGACACTGATGAAGCCTTTTTAAAAGTCTCTAGAATCTAACATCTGAGGTAAGATACAAGATTTAGTAAACTGAGAATAACAGAGCTTAACATCAGATAAAATCTTTTTACATTCGTTTTTTACAATAATAAAAGGACATTTGTTAGTTAGAGTTATTCTTGTAAAAAAGATTTACAAAAATGATTACATTTTAATAAAATAACTGCTTAAAATGATGCTCGACTTAAAATTGAAGAGAAGTAATAAAAACTTCCAAACTTTTATTCCAGAAGGAAAATAAAGGTCTTTAAATATTATCCTTACATATTTATATAAACTTTAGTATTTTAATAGTGTGGCATTTGCTAAAATAGAAGGTGAAAATGTTTTTTGCTTTGCAATATGCTGGAAAAGCATTCTTAGTTAAATCTAAAATAAAATAAGCAATTAGATATGAAAGAAGTAAAGATATCACATATAAACACTACAAATCAGTTTATCAGTTGCTGTTCTCTCTTATCAATTCTCAATTCTCTTGATGCTGTTACTTCAAATGTTACTGTTCCCATTACAAAATAACAAAACTTAAATTGTTAAAAAATGGAATGCAACTTATACCTAAAAGAACATCATCACTAACAGTCTTTTCCGTTTTAAATTTACCGCCAGTACACAAAAAATCGCTGGCCGGACAGTCATTATTTGTCTGGTGCGCACAATTTAAAAAAACATTTTTTTTTTGTACTTCTTTAATTAGAAAATGATAAAGAAAAAAGATAAGATCCAATGGATTTAACATAATCACCATAAATTTTTAAATCATTTAAATTCACTAAAATAAAAACAAAACTTTAAGTAGGGGAGAATGGAGCAACTTGTCATACTTTTTATATTTTTTCCAGATATTTCAAAAACTAATTGGTCAATTTTCATAAAAACTCTTTTATATGGTAGTTTATCATTATAGTTATTTAAAAAATAACTTTGGAAAGCAACAGACCATTTGAGTATAACATTAGAACTATTTCTAAAGAAGGCTTCATGGTATGACAACTTGCCCCACCATTGGGGCAAGTTGTCATGATAAGAGTGGCAAGTTGTCATAATTATATTTTAGTGTAGGTCTAAAAGGTAAAAAAATATTTTCAAAAAGAAAACAAGTATTATATTAATCATTTATAATTTATTAAAAATAACATAAAATTTATACACTAAAACACTTTGAAAATGACCATTAAAAATCGTCATCAGAGTCATAATTATGACAATTGTAGCTGGACCCTCCTGCTGTACATTTTTTATGTGCCCAGCTTGAGCAGTCACAACATTTGATCCATTTTTCAGCATCTCTGCTATTAGCCCAAGTATCCATGCAAATGATTTAGTAGTTTTCATCTTCTGGTAATGATAAGTCTTGTGTATGTTTTTTTGTTGCTTTGCTTTTCCCCTTTCCCGCAGAACTTTTGCATTTTTTCGGCAGTGACTGTGATGGTCTCACAGAATTTTCGGGGAATCAGTCAATAGAGATGAAGTTCTCTTCTTGACTGTGTTTTTTGAAGGCTTTCTTTCTAGTACCTTTGGTAATGGCCTTACTTTATCTGGAGTTACAAGCACAGAACATTCAGACATTGATTTCACTTGAGATGTTGAAGGCTCCTGTGATGGCAAAATTGAACTCGAAGCAAAAGTGGGTTTTTCTGGTGAGACTGCAACCTTTGAAGCTCGAGGCATTGTTAATTGAGAATTGGTTTTGACTGGCATAGGTATTTCTGTTACTGAATCTGAGCAAAGTCCAAATCTAAAAATATTTGAGGCTTAAAGGGGTGGATGCCACATAAAGAAAAGCCGCTCAGTATGTTATTTGGTGCCATTCTCAATGAAAAGGTAACTTTCCCTTTTTATAGTATATTATTATTTATCATACCTTTTCTAGCGTTACTGACCATCCAACTGTTAATGGCTGTATTTACAGCTTTTTTAAAAGGACCATAGACAGTTCTATCTAGTGGCTGCAACTTGTGGGTGCAATGGGGTGGAAAACCTAACATGATAATTCCATTCGCTGTCACATAGTCTAGTGCATTCAATGATAAGTACAAAAAGTGATTGTAAACCAGTAGCAAAACTGGATGCTCCTTTGAAGGCCGAATGTGGAATACTGTTACCAATAGTAAAGGCAGCACATGTCAAGTTAACTAAAGCACTTCTTTCTGCTGAGGTTATTGCCCCAACTTGCTTTTGGCCCTTTCTTGAGATTTTTGAACCATCATTTAATAATGTTTACTTTCTTGAACTATCATTTAATAATGTTTACTTTCTTGAACTATCATTTAATAATGTTTACTTTCTTAAACTATCATTTAATAATGTTTACTTTCTTGAACTATCATTTATTAATGTTTACTTTCTTGAACTATCATTTAATAATGTTTACTCTCTTGAACTATCATTTAATAATCTTTACTTTCTTGAACTATCATTTAATAATGTTTACTTTCTTGAACTATCATTTATTAATGTTTACTATCTTGAACTATCATTTATTAATGTTTACTTTCTTGAACTATCATTTAATAATGTTTACTTTCTTGAACTATCATTTATTAATGTTTACTTTCTTGAACTATCATTTATTAATGTTTACTTTCTTGAACTATCATTTATTAATGTTTACTTACTTGAACTATCATTTATTAATGTTTACTTTCTTGAACTATCATTTATTAATGTTTACTTTCTTGAACTATCATTTATTAATGTTTATTTTCTTGAACTATCATTTATTAATGTTTACTTTTTTGAACTATCATTTAATAATGTTTACTTTCTTGAACTATCATTTAATAATGTTTACTTTCTTGAACTATCATTTATTAATGTTTACTTTCTTGAACTATCATTTATAAATGTTTACTTTCTTGAACTATCATTTAATAATGTTTACTTTCTTGAACTATCGCTTAATAATGTTTACTTTCTTGAACTATCATTTATTAATGTTTACTTTCTTGAACTATCATTTATTATTGTTTACTTTCTTGAACTATCATTTATTAATGTTTACTTTCTTGAACTATCATTTATTAATGTTTACTTTCTTGAACTATCATTTAATAATGTTTACTTTCTTGAACTATCATTTAATAATGTTTACCTCTTGAACTATCATTTAATAATGTTTACTCTCTTGAACTATCATTTAATGTTTACTTTCTTGAACTATCATTTAATAATGTTTACTTTCTTGAACTATCATTTAATAATGTTTACTTTCTTGAACTATCATTTATTAATGTTTACTTTCTAGAACTATCATTTAATAATGTTTACTTTCTTGAACTATCGTTTAATGTTTACTTTCTTGAACTATCTTTTATTAATGAGTACTTTCTTGAACTATTATTTATTAATGTTTACTTTCTTGAACTATCATTTAATAATGTTTACTTTCTTGAACTATCATTTAATAATGTTTACTTTCTTGAACTATCATTTAATAATGTTTACTTTCTTGAACTATTATTTAATAATGTTTACTTTCTTGAACTATCATTTATCAATTTTTTCTTGCTTTAAGTCACAAGAAGTCAGCAAAATTTAAGCTATCATATGTTAATTGGCTTGCCCTTGATACCTAGTCTCAATGAGCGATTGGATATTGAGACTAGGTATCAAGGAATTAACATCTTAATTAGTTGTTCCGTACCATCAATTTTTTCTTGAAAATTTATTTTGGTAATAGTCCAATTGATTCTGGTAAAATATGTTTAATGCTTTAAATGTATAAATGTAAAGTACCTTTACATTTATACATTTATTACATAGTGTACCATTTATATCATGCCGGCCAATCTTTCCAACTGCATTATCCTGCTTAAAATAATATGTTATTAAGTCTTCCACTGAAAACGATTAAACCTGATTAATTGTTAGACATTTGATTGGTTCATAAAACCTTTTAGCTTTCTTATGTTACAAATTAAAATAAGAAAACATACACGATTTATCTGGTTTTATTCTCAAAATACTATCTACGAAGTAACTTTTTTTTAACATCACAATAAATAATAACTGTCTTTTAAAGTTGTCAAATATGGTTGTAAGGCTGCTATGAAAATTAGGCAGAATGATATACCTGAAAATTTTAGAAAAAAACACATGGCGATTTAGTTTGTATTCTCTTTAAGTCCTGTTGTTTTTTACGTGTATCTCCTTTAAGTTTTTACGCGGATCTACGTTAAGTTTTTTACGCGGATCTACGTTAAGTTTCCCAATTTTGTTCTATGATTAAGTCATATCGGTCATTAGATTTCTTCTGTGATCAATTTGATATAAGTCATTAGTTAGGCGACAATAATGTAGAGAAAATAAAGAAGACCTTTCAGAATGAACATTTGGTATTACAAGTTTTATTTAAATCAAATATTGTTTAATTTTTTTAGATACTTGAAATAGACCGTGCAGATCTGTGCGATTTTCGGCTTCTGGGAGATGGTAGTTTAGGCTGTGTTTATTCTGCTGATTATACAGGAAACAAAGACGGTAAAACGTTTACAGAATGTGTTGCAGTTAAGTCTATTATTAATAAAGCTTTGCCAAAACAAATTGAAGACTTCGTTCGCGAAGCTGAAACACGAGCAAACTTTAAACACGAAAATGTAGTTGCTTTAGTTGGTGTTATTAGCAAAGAAGAACCGCTTTCACTCATTTATGAATATACCGAATTTGGCGACTTGCATGAGTATTTGCTTCGTCATTCACCTAATTTTAGTGACGCACATGCCAACGATAATTGCGATCCTTTGGAGTTCAGTGATCTGTTGGCTATTAGTACCCAGGTTGCAAATGGTATGGCGTATCTAAGTTCACATGCATTTGTTCATAAAGATTTAGCTGCTCGAAATTGCTTAGTTGCAGAAAATGGTTTGATTAAAATTTCTGATTTTAGTGGTCTTTCAGATATGTATGCAAGCGACTATCTCCGCAGTACCGAACATTCTCCTTTACCGATAAGGTGGATGAGCCCCGAGAGCTTATGTCAGTTAGTATCTTCAAGCAACACAGTAAGTTTCTCCAGTGCTAGTGATATTTGGTCGTATGGCGTGTTGTTATGGGAAATATTTTCTTACGGATCAAGGCCTTACTACGGCTTAAGTAACTCTCAATGTATGCAGTTAATAATGGACTATAAACTACTATCTTGTCCGACAGGTTGTTCCGCCGCCATTTACAATATTATGATAGAATGTTGGTCAAAAGATGCTTCTGTACGATGTGGATTTATAGAAATATGTAATAAACTTAAATGTTATGGCGATATCATATCTCATAACAAAAGTTCTAGACAGTCTAGTAACAGTCTTCAATCAAACAACTCGGTACAGAGATCAGCTAATTCTTTGCAATCTCATCGGTCGGATTTTTCTATCAACAAGATGCACAAAACCAGTAATGGGGTTAGTTATGCCTATCAACAACTAGAACGCCCCACGATGAACGGTTATTTTCATGAAAGACGCTCCTCAATCAGAGGCAGTCCATCTCAACAAGTTGGAATTGTGGAGATGGATTTTGAATTCCTGCCCTTATCGTCTCTTCCACATAATCGGCAACCACCACCTAGTTTTGTATCGAGTTATTATCCACCTTCAATGAACTGTCCACCAGCATCTGCTGTTTTAAGTCAGCCATCTCATTCCAGTCATTGTTCTAGTAGTTGTAACCGTTCAGGTTGTAGCTATAAATCTCCATCAAGTAGCTGTGTTGATAACTCACATATATACCTGTGATAATGTGTATTAGTTTTTCCTCTCAGTCGGCAAATGTGGTAGTGATATTTAGTATAAAATACGTATGAGTTCTAAAAGCCTGATTTGTATAAATTCTGATAAATTAATTCAAATAGTCTGGTAAAATGGGCTAATTCATATAATTAATTGTAGTTTGAAATGACAAACCTTGAAACATCTTGCTTTACATGTATATAAATTTAATCTATAACATTTTTGTACAGAATTTTTAGTAAGTTTAGGCATTTTTTTTGTTTTTAACTGTTCTCTTATAAAAAATTAAAACAAAGAATCGAAACGATAAAAATATCTATTATTAAATAGTAATTCGTAAATTTTTTTCATAATCTTATGCTGCACATCAGTAACCTGTTAAAATGATTTTGATGTTTTTTATGCGAAACATCTGCAATAAAAATTTCGATAAGTAATTGCGTTCAATCTAGGGTATGCAATGTATATTAGTCTTTGAAATACTAATGAACCAAAAAACAGTAACTCTTGTCTTAACGTCTAACTTACAAACGTAATTTTTTGGATTTCTTCAAAAAATGTTAAACAACTTCAGGTTATTGAAAATAAACCTGAAGCTAAGGAACTTAGATTCAGGTTGTTGAAAATAAACCTGAAGCTAAGGAACTTAGCTTCAAGTTGTTGAAAATAAACCTAAAGCTAAGGAACTTAGCTTCACGTGACATAAAACCACCCTGAACCTGAACGAAGGTTCAGGTTCAGGGTGAAAGGAAGGTTTTTTTATCGGCTGGACACGGAAAAATCCGGTCAACTTTAAATTGAGATTTCTTTAAAAACATAAATGTTTTTTATTTCAATTTTTTTATTATTAAATGTGTTTACATAAATTAGATTTTCAACTTAATTTTAAGGGGCTTGATCGGTTGTTTGGCAAGAAATCGAACTTTATAGCAGGTTGATTTCACAGATTTTTTCATTTTTCACCATATTGGTGACATTAATCAACTTTTTTTGGAAGTCTTTTTTATTATTTGTTACTCCACCTGTCTCACGAAGAACTCCTTTAACTATTGCCCAAAAATCTTCAATCTTGCGCTCTTCAGGACGATTTGGAGGATTCGCATCTTTAGGAACAATTTTCACATTATTATCTTTGCTGTAGAACTGTAGAACCTTTTTAGAATAGTGAAAGGCAGCAAGATCGGGCCAAAAGAGACATCGGTATTTGTGTTTATTTATTTATAATTATATTATTTGTAAAAATATTATTTATAAAAGGCAAAAGTCTTTTTTGGAGGCATTTTTTGATGTAGAGATTGGTAGTAAAGGTCTTTTTAGTGACAAAACAAGAGGACTGCATACCACAGCTACAAATTGCTTGCCACACAAGGAACTTGGATGCAAACTTTTCTTGTCGAATGTATTTAAATTGATTATCGACAGGTTTATCTTTGTTTTCATAGTAAAACTATTGACCAGGAAGTTGTGAAAAATCCGCCTTGCAATACGTTTCGTTGTCTTCAATTATGGACATATTTTTATCCGCCATTATTTTAACCAACTTCTTTGCGCGTCGAATTCCTTTAATTTCACAATTTAGACTTCTCTTAGGTGTATTTTTTTTATGAAATGTTTAAATTCCATCCTTTTTAAGTACTTTTGTGATATAAAGACGAGAAGTCTTGAATTGTGACTGGTTTGGATTTCTTGCTATTGATCGTAAAATCGACTTTACCTTTTTGGATTTAAAGAAAGTTTTTTTTCTTCCACTTCCAAGTTTTCTTTCGAAGCTTTGAGTAGTCTTGAACTTGTTTATAACATCTATGACTGTAGATTTTGGGACATTTGAGCATTTAGCAATCAAGCGATAGGAAGTCGATGGATTTTTGCAAAAAAAAACTCACAACTTTTTTACTCGCCTCAATTTGTTTTTAAAACATTTTGCAAATCATTAATTTGTAAATAAAAACTTATCAACACCATTTAAGATAAAGGAAGTAAGGTTTAAGAAAAAAAAAATTAAATAAAAAGCATTTGTGGTTTTGGAGAAATCTCAATTTAATGTTGACCGGATTTTTCCGTGTCCACCCGATAAACCCGTTTTACTGAACAGAAATTAACTTCAAATTAAAAAATATTTAAAAAATCATCAAAAAAAAATTTTTCATGGATTTCTTTTGGAATCTTTTGTTATTATTTGTAGATTATGTGTCTTTATTTAAAAAATGTTTCAATAAATTTAAGAAAAGCAGAGGAACTTAAGTTTTTAACGATTAAACCCCTTTTCTGTACAAAATTTAAATTGAAATTAAGAAATATAACGAATCATGAAAAAAAAAAAACACGTTTTCCCTGATTTCTTTAAGAATCATTTTTTATATTTTTGTAGATTTTGTAGGTTTATTCAAAAAAATGATAAAATAAACCTCAGAGGAGAAAAGGAACCTAAATTTTTTACGATTAAACCTATTTTTCTGTTCAAAAACATAATATTAAAAAAAATAACAAAATCGTCAAAAAAAACTGATTGTTACTAAAGTTTTTTTTTAAAATCATTTGTTATTTTTATGTAGATTTTGTTGGTTTCCTCATAAAAGTGTTAAAATAGTGCAAAGACGCCCAACGAAAATTGTGTTTTTTTGCTCTAGAATGCTATTTAATTAATAAAAATGTTTACGAAAGTAAATATTTTATTAAAACTGAAAACATCACAAAAAAAGTTTTTCACTAATTTTTTGTTATGTTTGTGTAGATTTTATATAGAATCTATAAATAAATAAATCTATAAAATAAATAAATAATAGAATAAACCTATAGCTATAGGTTTATTCTATTATTTATTTATTTTATTATTTCTATAGGTTTATTCGATAAAAAATTAAAATAAATCAAAGAAAAGCACTTTAGTTTTTTAAAAAAAACCCATTTTTTATAAAAATACTTACAAAATTAAAAAAATAAATCAGAAACATCATAATATCAGTTATCCATTGATTTCTTTTGTTATATTTTTTAGATTCTGTGATTTTATTCAAAATATGTCAAAATAAATTCGAGGGAAGAAAATGATCTTAAGTTTTTTACGACTAAACACATTTTCTGTACAATATTTAAAAAAAAAAAAAATGACAAAACCATATAAAAAAAAAAAAACGATTTGCCGCCGACTTCTTTTGGAATCTTTTGATATATTTTTGTAGATTTAGTGGGTTTATTCAAAAAAAAAAAAGTTCAAATAAACCACAGGGAAGCAAAAAATTTTTTTTACAACAAAACCCTTTTTGCTGTACAAAAACTAACATAAAATTTGAAAACATAACAAAATTACAAAAAAAACAAGGTTTCAGTGTTTTGAATCTTTGTTTTATTTTTGTTGATTTTTTGGGTTTATTCAATGAAAGTTTAAAAAAAGCTAAGTTTAAAAGAACATAAATTTATTTAAAAAAGCACAACTTAAATTTAGGAAAAAAACTTAAGTTTATTACGGCAAAAGTGCAAAAAAACAACAAGACAAAAGCAACAAAAAACATGTTTTCACTGATTACTTTTGAAATCTTTTTTTATATTTTTTTAGATTCTGTGGTTTTATTCAAGAAAATGTTAAAATAATGCTAAGGCACACATCTAAACATATGTCTTCTTTCCGAGTGCTTTGTGATATTTATGTAAATTCTGTAAGTTTATTTAAAAAAAACTTGAACTAAACATGAGGGAAGCAGAGGATCTTCAGCTTTTCAGCAAGACAAAACGTCTGTTCAAAATTATACTGAAATTAAAAGAAATGACAAAAGCATCAAAAAAACAAGTTTTCATAGAATTCTCGTTGAAAATTTTAATATATTTTTGTAGACGATGTTCATTCTTTAATGTTTAAAATAATTCCGAGGAAAGCAAGGGAAGTTTTTTTACCACATAACCCTTTTTCCTGTACAAAAAAAACCCTCAAATATAAAAAAATATAACAAAATCATCAAAAAAAAATTTTTTTTAACCAATTTCTTTAAAAAACCTCTTTTTCTGCACATACGCAAACTTTATGATAAAAAATATGACAAATTTGTCATATTCAAAGCAATTGCTTTTTTTCCTCTAATTTATTTTAACATTTTATTGATTAAAGCCACACAATCTACAAATATATTACAAAATATTCTAAAAGAAAGTAGAAAAGTAGTAAAAGGTAGTTATCACCTGTTTTTGTTATAATTTTTAAAATTAACCATTTTGAATTTATTTGACGACTTAAAAAACGCAATAATATGTCACGTTAACACTTAAATATATTAGTTTTCTTACAAAATAAGTACTACAAAGTATATATCTTAGCAGTGGCGGATTAAGACTTCTTGGGGCCCGGGGCTATTTTTGTTTTTGGAGACCTTTTTATGGGCCAGAGCCTAAAAATGACTAAAAGGATCAAGGGGACTATAGCCCCCCCTCCTTGATCCGGCACTGTATCTTTGGAAGACAGACAAAATATTTATTTACTTATTCTAATTTAAAAAATAAAGTAAGTAAAAAAACTCTGACGACGTCTGCATTATTTCATATTTAAATTTTAATTTTGCCAAGTTCAAATATTTGCTCATTAAGCCTATTAAATAGCTCGCTATATTGTTTTAGATGTAAATGCTTTTAAAAAGGTGCAAAATTTATTAAGCTTTTATTTGATGGGTTACTTTCCTAATTTAGATAACGAAAAACGAGTAATTAACATTTTGTTCTGATGACGTAATTTTTGTTTTTACTAATTTTTTGTTATTCAGTAATAAAAATATAAAAAATGCCTCATAAGAAAACTAACTTATTGACGAGTTATTTTTCCTTATTTAGACAGGTAAAAAATATTAAGTTCACACTTTTTTTAAAGAAAAGAGAATACCTTTTCTTTGAAAAACAGTCACTTTATATATTATATTGAGTGAACACTAGTGAATATGTAAAAAATTTTAGACTACAAAACATGTAAAAAATTTTAAAATCTACATAATATAACAAAAGATTTCAAAAAAAAATCAGCGATAACTTGTTTTTTTGATGTTGTTGTCATAACTTTTTATTTAAGTAGGTTTTTGTTCAGCAAAAAGCGTTTTGTCCAAAAAAGCCGATGTCTTTCTGCTTCTTTAGTTAAATTAGTCGTAAAAAGATTAGATTCCTCTGCTTTCCTCAGGTCAGTTAAACAGTTTCTAAAATAAACCCAGATAGTTTACAAATATAAAACAAAAAGTTTAAAAAGAAGTCAGTGAAATTCTGTTTATTTGATGTTTTTATCATGTTTTTTAATTTTAAGTTAGTTTTTGTACAGAATATGGTGTTTTTGGATGGTAAAAACCTTAGGTTATTTTGCTTCCCTCAGGGTTATTTTAACATTATCTTGAATAAATCCAAATATTCAAAAAATAAAAAATAAAAGATTGCAAATGAAATTGCTGATAAGGTGTTTTTTTGATGTTTTTGGCATAATTTTTATTTCAAGAAAGTTTTTGTACATAAAAATGTGATTTGTGGTAAAAAGCTTAGGTTCGTCTGCTTCCATCAGTTTTATTAAACATTTTGTTGAACAAACCTTCAGAATCTGCAAAAATATAGCATAAGATTCCATAAGAAATCAGTGAAGACTTATTTTTTTATATTATGTTTTTGTATTAATTTTTTCTTTAAGTTAGTTTTTCTAGAGAAAGGGGGGGGGGGGTGTATTGTCATAAAAAGTTAGGTTACTTTGCTTCCTTCAACTTTATTTTAAGATTTTCTAAAATAAACCTAAAGAGTCTACAAAAATATAACAAAAGACTCCAAACAAAATTAGTAATGTCTTGTTTTTTTGCTGTTTTTGTCAAAAGCGATTTGGTCGTAAAAAGCTTAGGTTACTCTGTTTCCCTTTTAACAATTTAACATATTCCTAAACAAATTCGTTAAATCCTGTTTATTTAATGTTTTTTTTATACTTCTAAATTTTAAGTTAGTTTTTTTATAGAAAAAGGATTTTATCTTAAAAACTTAGATTCCATTGCTTCCCTTAAATTTATTTTATCATTTCTTTGAGTAAATTCACTTAATCTACAAAAGTTTAACAAAAGATTTAAAAAAAAAAATCAAAAATAAGGTGTTTTTTCGATGTTTTTGTCATAATTTTTTAATTTAAGAAAGGTTTTGTACAGAAAAAAGGGTTTTGTCGTAAAAGGCTTATGCTCCTCTGCTTCCTTCATGTTTATTTAAATATTTTCTTGAATAAATCTTCATAATCTACAAAAATATAACACAAGATCTTTTAAAAAGGTGGTGAAAGCTATTTTTTTTTAAAGAATTATTTGTTTTCCTAAAAAAATTTAATTGATTACTTAACATTGACCGAGAAAAAATAGGTTTAGCTAGATACCATAGCTTGTTTTTATTACTTTCCAGAATAATTGTACAGAATCTACAAAAATATAACAAAATATTTCAAAATAAATTAGTGAAAATTTGTTTTTTTTAATGGTACTGTTGTATTTTATAACTTTAAGTTAGTATTTGTATAGAAAAACAGGGTTTTGTTCTAAAAACTTCAGGTTCCTTTTGCTTCTCTCAGGTTTAATTTACCATTTTCTTGAATATATTCAAGATCCTAAGATCTTAGCATGTTTTATGATGGTGTTGGTCTTTAAATTGGGCATAAACTCAGAGAAGAACGTGTTCAATTTATTCACACTTAATATTGGTTCTAAATTTAGCTGCAGAAAGAAGGGTGAATACTTTTTTAAATCAAAAAGAGTATAAAGTGTTTTCCTTAATAATTCTGATATTTGAATTTATTAGGTTTGAATATTGTTGGTGATCGACTTAATTACGGAAATTAAAATGGAAGAATGCAGAAAGTTTAAAAAGTTGATACTACGGACAAATTCTATTCTGCCAAGGAAAAAACCATGCCAATATACCTTTTTATATATTATATATTATATACAAATAATATTTTTTCGTAAATTGCATTGACTTGATGCATAAAACAATTTATTATTATTTTCATTATTGTATTTATTTATTTTTTATATCAAAACACAATATAAACATCTGCAAGGTGAACCTCAAGTTCTTTTTATCGAAAAAATTAGACTGATTTTAGAGTATTTATCAAAAAAATTTGAGTTAGCGAGTTTATTTTTTACATACTTCAGAAACGCCGTCTGACTTTATTGAAATTATTTACGACTTTCTATACTGTATTATGAACAAAAGATTTCACACTTCCATCTATAATACTTCCATGGTTAAACAGAAAGTAAGTTTAAATCTATACATTAAAAAAAAAAAAAATGTTTGGTAAATGTCCGTGCTCGTAATAACTCGTTTAAGGTAGACGTTCAAAAGCTATAAAAGTAACGTTTGGAGTGAACATTGACGTTAACGTTTGGAGTGAACATTGACGTCAACGTTCGCTGTTTGTTATTTGAACGTTCACAGCGAACGTTCAAGAACTGTAATTTAGAGTTCATAAAAATATGTTCAAATAACGTTTGCAGCGAACCTAACGAACGTTATAAAAACCTAAAACGTTGCAAAGGTTCAAGAACGTTTTATGAACGTTCATAAAATGTACTCGAACGTTCGCAACGTTTGTCGAACTTTCTTGAACGTTTTGTGTTAGCTGGGTTATTTGAATGTTCAAGAACTGTAAATTGGAGTTCACAAAAGTTAGTTTAAAGAATGTTATGCAAACCTAAACAAATGTTATGTAAACGTTTCTTGAATGTTAATTGTTAGCTACAGCTAACAATTAACATTCAAGAAATTTCCATGGGAAAGCATCCAAAACGTTCAAGAAATTCCCATGGGAAAGCATCAAAAAGTAGGTTTTTACTGATTATTTTTGAAGCAATTTTATTGGTTATAACTAAATTTTTCAAAATCCTGATAACATTTTTTTAGATTTCATTTTTTTAGATTTCGTAAGGTACAAACTTATAAAGGAATAAACACACCATTACATGAAACCATTACAGAAAGTTAACTTAATCTTTGATCAATTCTATGAACTTCTTTAGTCTAGCAATAAGAAACAATCTTAACAATTTGAATGCTATAAAAAAAAGCTGTTTAGGCGGTTTTGTTTAGTTGTACAGATTTTGACGACAAGGAATGTCAACACCGTATTTCCCCAAGAGAATTTGAGACTTGGTGCAAATATGATTTGGAGAAAGTTCATGGTGAAAATATTTATGTAGAGTAAGTAAATATTTTTGTTTCAGTCTTCAACATTTTAAAACCAACTTTTACTGATCTATCTTCAGATGATTTACTAAAACACCAACGAGACACTGAACCACATTATTTGGAGACGCTACCCAAAACGCATTTTTGTGGGTAGAGGGGTCTTTGAGTCTGCAGTTAACTCGTCTAAGTTTAAATTTTATAAAGGTTCTAATGGAATATTATTTGTACTTAATAAATTTTAACTAACAGGATATGTATCGTCTTTGAAACTTAATGGAAAAAATAAAGAAGCTATAAAGCGGTCTCTTCAATAGTCCACTGAACGTGTCAAAAAGAGAGAAAAATAGCTAAAAACAATTAAAAAGGCTTAGTTAGACAAAGATGCTAAAGGAAGGCTTAGTTAGGCAAAAGTAATAAAGAAATTGATAAAGAAAAAACTAAAAATATATCCCAGGAGGGTTTTAATATGTTTGTATGAACTTTTTATTATGGCTTTATTCTTTTGTTTTACATATTTGTCGTTTCCTCAGAACTAAGTTTCGAGTACAAATCTTTAAAACTTAAAATTTGTACTCGAAACAAATCTTTAAAATATGATTAACTTTAAATTCGATTAAGCTTTGATCTCATTTTTTTTTTTTTGCGATTTTTTACATAATTAAAAAGGATCCGGATGAGAGAAGGATATTTAAAACAAAATAAGGGAAGTACTTTTTTATGAGAAAAATTGCTGGACGAATGTTCAGCAATTTTTCTATGTTTGTTTTAAATGTTGTAACCTTATACATATTATAAATAATAAAATATACTTCACTAATCTGGATTAACATACCTCATTAGTATATAAACCAATTTTCAGCTTAATATGATAAATATTTTGATTGCTAGCTCGTCACAAAAATTGCTAGTTTTTTCACTCTTATTTTAAATAATTGGGTAATCAAGACATTTTTTTAAGTTGATTTTTTAAAATAGCTTATAGAACCAGATTTTTGGTGAAATATATAAATCAAAAAAGTTTTTCTATCAAAAGTTTGTCTTTTCCGTAGAGGACCACCTTAAGCTTAGGAAAAAATTTAAAAGTTATTTAAAATCCATACTTCAAAACATAAAATTTTTACCATGTAAAATAAAAGCTGTTTATTTACAATTTTAACTATTAAATAATGTTATTTAGAATTGAGTAGTATTATTTGGAAAAAGTGCCTTAAAAGTGTAATTGTGTCAAAGAAAGTATTAGAACTAAGTGTATTTTTATCCAAAAATAAATTTAATAATAATAGTCATCGGAGCACGATAATAGAGCAAAATAAATTTGCGTAAAAAAACCTACAAAATTACACCCATAAAATACCACACATTGGCATTTACCCTAACACAATTTTATCTTTTAAACGTGAAAAACAAAAACTTACGAGTGTATAAATACTTAAACAAGATTTAAAAAAAAAAACTTGTATTTTAAAACACAAGCTATATATACAGATTTGTTTTCACTCAATTTTAATTTTTAGACCCATTTCGTCATACTCTTGTTTTTTTTCAAAACTATTTGCTGTATAACTGACAGATTTTTAATGGTACCCTACCTAACGTTACGAAGCATATTACGAGAATCTTTTGTATGCTTCCAAGTAAATTTAATTTAGTCTTTAAAATTTCTGGACCCAATAATAGAGCAATTTTTTAAATGTAAATTATTTCCTATGTCAAAGGCCATTTTTTTTAAAAAAATTTTGTTTTATTAGGACGTTCTCAGAAGACCTAACCGTCTTATCACCAGAAGTCTTTAGCATCGTTAAGGACTTCTGATGATAAGACAGTTAAAAGGTTAGTTGAAAAGTTTTTACCATCGATATCAAATAAAATTAAAAAAGAAAGAAAAACTCTAGATCTAAAGATAAATCAATTAAGTGATAATGATTGCTAATTAATTCCGCTCTACTCTATGTATAAGTATATATATGTGTATATGTATATGTATATGTATATGTGTATATATATATATATATATATATATAATATATATATATATATATATATATATATATATATATATACATATATATATATATATACATACATATATATATACATATATATATATATATATATATATATATATATATATATATATATATATATATATATATATATATATATATATATATATATATATATTTCCTTTAAAAAAAACATAATTTTAAATGCAACTAACATTCAACTTAAAGCTGACAATCCTACAATTGTAGATTGCATGAGAAATTTCAATTAAATATTTTGATAAGTTTTTATAGTTCGTTACACTTAATTGAATTTTTTATATTGTAAAAAAAATTCAATTAAAAAAATCAACCAACTTTGTTTTAAATCAGTAACTAGCTAATATATAAACTAGAATATACAAGTGCATGCAAATGCAATTTGACAAACTTTTTCAATAGTAACATATTTACAATATTTATATACTCAAACACATTTTGTTTTGATTAAATCTTCAGGGTTTTGTCACAACCATTTAGGTCTGAATTTAGTCTAATATTGGAATCTAATTATAATCCAGAGTCTGTTGTTGTAAGTTGATAAAGCTTTTTAAATCTTTTATATATAACTTTATTGCTGGAACAAGACACTAAATGTGAAGATATACTTAATATAATACATACATAAGTTTAGTCAAATTACATTAGTAAAATGCTTAAATTTGTATATATATATATATATATATATATATATATATATATATATATATATATATATATATATATATATATATATATATACACACACACACACACACCAGGGATGCAGAGTCCTAAAAGAGCTCCTATGAAACAAAAAGTCCTTCAAAAGGACTCTTGCTTTTAAGCGTGAAGTCCTGGAGCCTATGCCTTTATACCTTGGACTTTAAAAATTATTATTCTACTTATGTATAAATCTTGATTTTTTTCCCCATTAGTAGCCCTTAGGACTTTTTATATCTTTAAAGCTACTGGATTCCAAAAACTAAAAAGAATTAATCTTCTTGTGACCTTTAACTCCGGAGTCCTTTTTAGGGACTCCGCATCCATGGTATATAGATATAAATTATGAAAAATTTATACATATAAATTATGAATTTATACGTAAAAATTATGAATATTGTTTAAATACAAATTATGAATATTATATACATAAAAATATAAATGCAATAAGAGCAAAATTAAATATAAAACCTCATGATATCTTTGTACAAATATACAGGATCAAATTGATATACTTTCTAAAACCACGCAAATTAGTTTGTGTTGTAATTATTGAAGATTTTAAAAATTTAAATGTTGTTTTGATAAAAAATCTTCAATGTCTGAATCAAAGCATTAAAAAATTACTTTTTTGAGAAAAATTTAAATAAGCACTTTTAAATTTTTCTGAGTAATGACACATTTTAATTCAAATGCACATTTTTACACATGATGTAATATTGAGTTAGATATTATTGAAAGGTATGCTGTTGTAAGGCTTCAGATGTTGACATCAATAGAGTGAGGTATTTTAAAAGTATGATCCAGAAGCTTAAAAACTTTTTCCTCTAAAAACAAAAAAATAAATTTATAAATAATTTTAAAAATTTGAACTTTATAACAATCACAGAAAATTTGAAAGTACTTTAAAGAGCACAATTTAGTTTTTTATTTTCCCCAGGATAAAAAACTCAAATATCTCTTTGTTTCTAGTCTTTTTTTTTAATTCTGCATACTACATTTTGTTTGATTGTGCAATAACAAAATTTTCACTACAATAAAATTATAGTTGCTGTAAGTATCATAATTTTAACTAACTTTTAGGACAAGTCTAAAACTAATTAATAATTTAAAACTAGGTAAAACAATCGGGTTTTCCGTGAATTTCTAAAATTAAAAAATAGAAAAAGCAAAAGTGAATTTCTTTGGTTTAAAAGTGGAATTGAATAGAGATTGTCCATAAATTATGCAACGGTGAATTTCACTAATAAATAAATTATAAGAGATCAAAAGTTTTTTCTAAAAGTTTTGTCATGTAAAATAATTAAATATTATTTAATTCTTTTTTTAAAATAAACTTTGCATTGCAAAATATATAGACAATCCCTAATTGAATGTTTAAATACTTGTGAAAACAACTTTAAAAAAGATATGAAATATATTACAAGAATAACAACAGTTATCTTCTTCATCAGGTTTTGAAAGTTACTCTTGAAATTATATAAATAAAGAAAAAAATAAAGTTGCTTTTACATTCGAAACTTAACTGATCTGCACATTTGTTTGAAATTAATTCAGCGGTCAGGAAGATATTTGAGAAACTTTAATAATTTTTAAAATAACTTTAATAGATAGTTTTGATTAAACTTGCCAAATAAAATAGCAACATTTAAACTAAACTATTGTAAATATGGTAAAACTATTTAATGTCTTTTAATTGTAAAATAAGCATCATTATCTTTTAAAGAAACAAAAGATAATAATGTTGGAGTATGATTAAAAGTTTTCGCCAGATATATTACTTAAATACACATAATAATACAAGAGAATACACATAAAAAATAGACATAATACAAGAGAAAAATTTATATATTTAAAAAGGAGACAACAAAGCTGTTGTAAATATAAATTAAAATCTTTGAAACTATATTATTACTGTTTAAAAACATACCATCTATAATTTTAACACTATATTTGTAAATAAAAAAAAGAAAATAACTAAATTCTTATTTAAAAATTACTTGCAAATAACAAGTTACGCATCTAAACTTTGTCAATAGTTTCTTTAAAACAGCTATCTCTAGATTAAATTTTGTCTTGAGTAAAAAGGACAAAATCTAATCTAAAAATAATCTTTAGGAATAAAATCTTTTAATATTGTAAACAAATACTAAGCAATCATATACTTAAGAAGCAAAAATTACAAGAGAATACACATAAAAAATAGACATAATACAAGAGAAAAATTTATATTTAAAAAGGAGACAACATAGCTGTTGTAAATATAAATTAAAATCTTTGAAACTATATTATTACTGTTTAAAAACATACCATCTATAATTTTAACACTATATTCGTAAATAAAAAAAAGAAAATAACTAAATTCTTATTTAAAAATTACTTGCAAATAACAAGTTACGCATCTAAACTTTGTCAATAGTTTCTTTAAAACAGCTATCTCTAGATTAAATTTTGTCTTGAGTAAAAAGGACAAAATCTAATCTAAAAATAATCTTTAGGAATAAAATCTTTTAATATTGTAAACAAATACTAAACAATCATATACTTAAGAAACAAAAATTATAACTTTTATGCGTACTTAAAAGTGACTTAAATCACTCTATTATTTACAATATTATTATAAGGATATAGTATATTATTATTAACATTATTATAAGCATATAGAATATTATTAATAATATTATCATAAGCATATAGTATATTATTAATAACATTATTATAAGCTGGTTAAATTTGTAATGTTTTAGTTGAAATTTTAAGGAGAAGTTTACTTACACAACTTTATTTTAGCTATCGAGTATAGGTTAGGTTCCCCATTTTTTACAGGGAACCTAACCTTGAACCTGATTTTGAAACTCACTTGTGTTTTAGATAATCAAACTAGGAAATAAAACAATTCACTCTATGGACCCTATGAGAGAACAGATAAATTCCATCAAAAGGAGAAGTTTAATGGAAGTATGATATTATTATTAGATATTCCTATGTCAAAATTTGTATTTACATCCTTTATAATTTTTTTACTATTATACAGTAGTTGTTACTTACAACAAAGATAAGGTGTTTCAGAAAAGTTTGAAATATTAACATTTCCACATGCCATACAAGCTGAAGGTATAACATTTGGAGTATTCTGCTTTAAGGTAACTTTAATAGTCTTAACTGTAATGGATATATACATATATATATATATATATATATATATATATATATATATATATATATATATATATATATATATATATATATATATATATATACATATATATATATATATATAAGCTTACATATTTTAATTTGCTGAAAGTTATACAAACGGAGAAGTATTGGTGTGTGTCTTTCCACATGAAGAAGTTAATGCATACAGAAAGAGAGAAAAAGGAGGTTTGTGAGATTCTTTAGAGAACTGAAAATGTTTACACTACTTCAATGTTAAATGATATATATAAAAAAGACAAAAAAAAATGATGCAAAATTAAACCAATAGGTCACAAAAGTTGGCAGAATAGTTTGTGTCGCATTTGTGGAAGTGAAATTGGTCCAAAAACTAGAAAAAATCAAAAAAAGGTTAAACAGGTAATAAAATATATTTTAATTATTTTTTAATAAAATTTCAAATAGAAAAAAATACTTTATATATTCAAATAGAAAAATGTACATTAAATATTTATTTTTAGATCAAATGTGATATTTGCATCCAAATCGATGGTACCGTATGAGATGCATTGTTTTTAGAAATGAAACTTTATTTTGTTGTGAACATATTTATATATAAATGTAATAATAAATAAAACTTTAAAAATTGCAGTCATTTTTTTTTCTTCAACATTTTGTCATAAATTGAACCAATTTAAATGTTTATGCCCTTACAGATAAAAATACAAATAGGTGATTTGACACAAATTTTTTTTTCCCTAGTTTTAGTGAATTCTTGCATTATTATTATACTTTAACTTGTCGAAAACCATACATATGAATTGATTGAACAATAATACATTTTTAATTTGTTAGCTCAATTAATTCTAAAAAAAAAATGAAAAATGACTATTTGAGTAATGTCTGCACATTTTGTTAAAATGCTAAATTAAAATATCAAATCTCCCTATGCAGGCTTCGGAAATATTTCCCAACATAATTACTACCATGTTGCAAAACAATTGTATTTCTGGAGTAACACAACCCCCCTGTGTAAGCTCTATATATATATCACGAAAAGAAGCAAAAAACCAACTTAAAATATCACATCCCCCTATGTAAATCTTTAAAATATTACATCCCCTAAGCAATTCATAAATTTTTTCAAATGAGTAGTAATTGCTTGAATATCATATCCATTACTTGTAAATTATGTTTGTACCACAAAAAAAAACTAAAATTCTTACTTAAAATATCACATCCCCTCTATGTTTACTTTTAAAATATTATATCCCCCTAAGTAATTCATACAATATTTCAAACGATTAGTATTTGGTATCTAGAATATCACATCTCATCGGTTTATTCACTGTATATGTCACAAAAAGAAACTGAAATTCTTACTTAAAATATAATATCCCCTTTAAGTTTACCTTTAAAATATTACACCCCCCAAAGTAATTCATACAATATTTCAAACGATTAATATTTGTTATTTAAAATACCACATCCCCTCTAGGTTTACCTTTAAAATATTACATCCCCCTAAGTAATTCATACAATATTTCAAATGATTAATATTTAGTATCTAGAATATCACATCCTCTCAGTTTATTCGCTGTATATGTCACAAAAAGAAACTTTAATTCTCACTGAAAATATTGCATCCCCTCTAAGTTTACTTCTAAAATATTACATCCCCCTAAGTAATTCATATAACATTTCAAACGGTTAGTATTTAGCGTTTAAAATATAAGATTTATCACTTGTAAATTTTGTATGTACCACAAAAAGAAACTGAAATTCTTACTTAAAATATCACATCCTCTCTATGTTTACCTTTAAAATATTATATCCCCCTAAGTAATTCATACAATATTTCAAACGATTAGTATTTGGTATCTAGAATATCACATCCCCTCGGTTTATTCTCTGTTTATGTCACAAAAAGAAATTGAAATTCTTATTTAAAATATAACATCCCCCCGATGTTTACTTCTAAAATATTACATCCCCCTAAGTAATTTATAAAGTATTTTAAACAATTAGTATTTGGTATATAGAATGTAACATCCACCACTTGTTACTTTTGTATATGTCACAAAAAGAAACTGGAATTCTTACTTAAAATATCACATCCCCCCTATGCAGTAGGTACGTGCGTATCTGGCTATTTACGGCACCGATTTATAAGTAAAAAACTGTGACCGTTTTTTTCACAGCGTGCTCGAAGTCGGTGTGGTAAGGATGTATTTATTAGTCTTTTTTTTAGAATTTTTTATCAGCTTAGACTTTTTTTGAAAAGTAGAATGTTTTATGTTGTATAAATTATGTTTTTTTTTCCAAAAGTATTAAGTTTTTTAGTTATTTTATTGCTCTTTAAAATTTTGTTCGTGTTCTGGAAGTGCATTGATATTGAAGGCATGTTGCTACACATTTAAAATTTTCCAGTCAGCTGTGTAAATCTATTTTCTATGTTCCTGCCAAATTTCATTAAAAAATATTCATGCGCAGACACCCTATTTTGCCACATAGTGGAGGTACATTTTCCATCTTTTTTACAACTACTGTTACTGTTACACTTTATTAAACTGTTTCTGTTAATGTTACTGTTACTTCTTGATATAAATTCCGTTGTTTTTTTTACATTTACTAGTGATTTTTATTAGATTTTCAAATTTCGTTTCTGTTCTGGAGGTACATTAATATTGACGGCATGTTGCTACACTTTTAAAATTTTCCAGTAAGCAGTATAAATCTATTTTCTATGTGCCTGCCAAATTTCATTAAAAAATATTCATGCGCAGACACCCTATTTTTCTGTACAGTGGAGGTATGTATTTCCACTTCCGTTTAGGCGGGGAAGGGGGGGGCCGTAATTTGATAGTGAGCATTTGGTATATTAGATTGTTTATTCATAATAATGAGATATATAGATAGCTTTCATTAAAAAGGTATACAATTTTTTTTTCAATAGCCTTTTATTAGTAATAAATGGCTATTGAAAAAAAAAAGTTGTTAGTAATAATATTACTAACACTATTGATGATTTCACACACCAAAATTAGTTTCAAGGCTAAATTCTGTTAAATCTAATTTAAAATGCTGAAATAAAAATTATGACTTTTTTTTATTTTTTTTTTTTTTATTACAAAATTTTTTATGGTGATTCAGAATAAAATGCGAAATAATGATAACAAACAAAAACAGCATTTTCTCAAGTTTTTTCTGTACCCATAATTTACCATATAACCACCAACCAGCATTATTTATGATATATAAAAATTATATATATCTATAATTTTTTATTGACTAAAGGCAATTTATTAGTTAGTTAATTGTGATTGATTGCTGACCCAATTAAATAGTAATTAAATATTAATAATGATTAAATTACAATTGAAGTAGTGTTATGATCGTTGAATTTAATTTAGTGCATCATGGGACCTAAAAAGAAAACAAATCTATTTTATGGTAAAGCTAAATCTTATTTAGTTTGTAATTTTCCAATACCAGCTCATTTAAATATGGGTTGTAGAAATGGACATGTACTGCATATATTGGCAACTAACAATGATTCATTCCAAGTAACTGTAGAACTAATCAGTAAGTATTTTAACATCAACATTTTTCCCAATCAGATTCTGCAACTAGTTAGAAAATCAAAAGTCTTTGTAAAAGCTTTTTCACGAAATTCAAAACAATTTATTGACATCTGCAACATGCTCTTTGAATACCAACCAACAGCATCTGCTGTCACTCAAACATCACAGTTAATCACAACCTCTAATCACATTGCCTCGTGTTCTTCATATTTTTCTCAGCAAATCACTGTTTCGTCTCTATCAAATAGTGACTCTTCTCAAGAATCATTATCCAGGTTGAGAGCTGACCAGGTTAGTCCCAGGAAAAAGTTTATGAGAAAGAGATTAACCATTTTGGAAAACGAATTCGCAATTAAAAAGAGAAAACATAAAAAAGATCTTAAAGGTTTAAGAGAAAAGGCGAAGGCTAGACCATACAGATTAAAATATCTAAATCAAGTTATTGCTCGTAAGGAAAAGATAATTCATCAACTTAGAAAAAAATTAAAAGAAAATTTTTTAAATATACAGTTAAAAAAACTTCAAAATCAAATTTTTTATTTGAAACAACAGTTAACATTCACCGAAACCAAGTTTTTTAATCAAAAGACAATGTTATCCCAACAACTTGCTGACAAAAATTCTGCAATTCTTGTACTTCAAAATGAAATACTGGTTTTACAGGAAAAGATATTCAGCAAGTAACACAAAACACCAAAAATGAAAAATGCTACTCAACAGATATCAGAACACTAATATATGACATGCTTGTGTGCCAAGCCTACACATAGTGTGCCATCTCTGCTCCATAAAATTGGAGAACATACTGGCAATCAATTTAGTCAAATTCCACATCGGACAACTGTAGAACAAATGATGCGTGAGCTTGGTGTTCTTTCAGACTTACAGACTGCTGAGATAGCATTTTCAACGAAAGATCTGACACTTGGTTTTGATGCAACAACCCAGGGGGGTGTTCATGTAAATGCTGTACACTTAACAACCGAATCAATATGTATGGTTGTAGCTATTGATCAACTTCCTGGAGATACAGCTTATGACTATCAGAGTCATATTACAAAATCTGTTGATAATCTTGCTAAGTTATATAGTGACTTCTACAAGCTTAAATACACTGATGTAAGAAGCACTATTATCGAGAACATAACAAATACCATGAGTGATAGAGTTGCAACAAACCATGCAACAGTCTCAAAGTTAAACCTAATTTGGCAGAAATCATTAAATGAACTTAACTGTCACCTTCACCCCCTGGACACAATGACAAGCTCTTGCAAGTCTTCACTTAAAGCATTAGAGACTTGAAAAGGGAAACTTTTTGGAAGAGACTGCATAGCAGCAAACATTGTTGTACAGCTGAACAAACTTCGTTACAAGGATGCTAAAGGGACCTATATAGTTTTAAAGCCATTCTTTTACTTTAATATAGTGTAGTTTTGTAAATAAAATTACAAGTTAAAAATATATAAATATTATAATTATTGCATGTTTTTAATTCATATTCTCCTTGCAATTCCCAAAATGACTTTCTTTATGTTATTCATAGGCAATCCAAAGGGTTTTGTAACCTTTTTGGACCAACATGAGTTGCCCAGAGGATTGCTACCACGCTATAGAGGGAACAGACTACATATACTTTTTCACACATGTGGTATTTTGATCCATCATTATGCCATATTGAAGATATTTCTGTGTTCTGGCTTGGCGTTATGTGGAGGTCTGCGAAATAGTTTGTTTCAAGACTTTACATCTGAAATAGGTATACCACTACTATTTACAATATTATAGGTTATAGAATGCATCTTTATAACATAGTAACGACACATGATTAACAAAGAATAAAGACAAATTTTATTTTTTGTTACTTATTAACTAATTTACCTTAGGTATCCGTGAGTTGTGTGTTTTAGCTTTAATTGGAAAGCTACTTTCTGGCTCTTGGATGACAAAATTTTATATTGCACCAGGTACAGGACTTGACTACATATCTGGCATTCAGGTAGTAAAAGATGTTAGGAACACTCTTATTGAGAGCAGCAAGAATCCCTTATCTCTACTTAAACGAAAAACTGATTTCTTTGGTAATGATATTAAAGATGTTGTTTTTGATTTAATAATCAGCTTTTGCCCAGTATCTAATGAAGTGAGTAAGGCATTAGGTGATTGTCTTAATGCTGTTATTAGCGTCATTGACAGGCAGTACAAGCGTCAGTTCGAAATGAGTTCTAATGATCTTCTTAAAGACCAGACTAAGTCAGCTAGGCTTCACAACATTGATTCAGAAGAACTTATGGGTATGTTTAGCGCTGCAAAGCACAAAGCTCCTAATGCTACTCTTTGTTTTCTTTCTTCGAAACTTCGTGCTTGTAAAAATAAAACAACTGCTCTGCTTTGTAAAAAGCCAACTGATACTCAAAACAAGTTGATATTATGGGTTATCTCTAATGCCAGGAAAAATCAATTTACAAGTATGCAATGTCATAATGAACTGAAGTTAGAACTGCTAAAACGAATGGCAGATAAAATTCAGAAAAGGGAGGACAAAGACCGCAGAAAGGTAAAAAAAATATTAAAAATATGCATGCCCGATCAGGTAAAAGAAATGTTTCCTGACCTAGAAAATAACAAATGTTAATTCATTATATATTAGTTAATTGTTAGCCTTAATTTTTATTATTTTTTTAATTTTATATCTGATATTGAAGAAATTCTTATTGGAGCTGCTATTGAAAGAAGTATTTGCCACATGTGGTTTGATAATGCCAATAACACCCATGAGGTATATTACGGCAGAATTGTTAGCATTAAAAAGAAGAACAATCATATATATATAGTTTCTTATTGGAAACCAAAAAAAAATGAAGATGATGACGGTGTTGAGTATGATATGAGCAAATATCAACTTTCTGCGGACATAATAAGCGGTGATATGGTGATAACATAACAGAATTGTGTAATAATAAGGTATATATTATTTTAAGTATTAGTATGTCTTATAAACTTGCATTAACAGATATTATTTACATATAGTAGGTTAATTTTTTTTTTTTCTTAAGAATAAATTTTGCAATGCCTAATTCCTTCCTTTTTTTGTAGTATTATGAAAAGATTTATAATTTTTTAATTTGTTTTTATATATACATATATTTATATAGAAGTTTACTTTTAGGTAGTCGGGTAGTTACCGACATCCAACAACCAGGGTTGACCTGGTTGCAACGTGCTATGGGAAACCAAAGCTCATTTACTTTTTAACATAAGCAAATTGCTTGGCTTATGACAATTAATGTTTATCATTGATGTTTATCATTATCAATGATGGCAATGCATTTTTCTATCAAGTATAACAGAGTTTCGCTTGCGTGGATTGGGAGATGTTAGTGTTCCATTACAATAAATCCCTTTAAAATTAAAATTTTTATTTATTATTTATTTGCTTGCCCATTACCAGAGAGTAATGACCAGATAACTTTTTCTTCATTATTATTTTTAATCAAATCTTTTATATTTCAGGTTAAACAGTATTAAAGGGTCGGCTATCGATTTTTTTGTTTGGTAATGAGAAGTTTGTTGTGTATCAGGAGTTAAGTGATTTTGAATTTTTTAACTTAATAAATCATTCTCATATTTAGTAATCTCTAATGGGTTTTTCAGTTATGGTGCTAAATATCTAATGCATTTTCATTTATTTTTTATTGCAAGGTTTTAACAATAATGGCAATTTGCTACTGTGGATATTTATGTTAAAGACCTCAAGATTATATTTATTAATTCAGTAATTACAGTTAAATGTTAATTCATTATACATTAGTTAATTGTTAGCCTTAATTTTTATTATTTTTTTAATTTTATATCTGATATATTTTTTCTTATTGCAAGGTTAAACAACATGATGAAAACTACATGGTTGCTTCAGTGGATGTTGATCTTTTTTATATCAAGAATAAACCGGTTAGATCATATTTATTTAGAGGTTTATTATGTTTATTAATGAAGTAATAACAGTTGTTTATTATTTATTATCCGGGGCATAGGGCATCCTTATTAAATAGGTATTGTGATATTAGTTTTGAGAAATTTTTACTTTATTTTAGATATTATTGGATGTGGTTTCCTTTGCGTACTAAAGAATCGACTCTTTCTATCTATGGATGTCACAGTTTTGTTTGCTTCAAAATCTAGGCTTTTTTCAAAGCCACAATTCTGTTAAAAACATTACTGAGCAAAAAAGAAATTTTTTTGTTAAAGAAGTGTGTTTTAAAATAGTTTTATTTTTTGCGGTTTGTTGGAATTTATATATAATTAGATATATGGGGCTATCGAAGGGAAAAGGAAGGGGAGCAGTGGTGGACATCCCCCACCCACCCCACCCATTTGTTTAGTTGGATATTTTTTTAGTAGGTTTTTAGTTAAACTATATGGTGTAATTGACACGGCTTTTAAAGTGGGGAGGAGGACCAACTCCCTAATTTAAAAAAAAACAACCTATATTTCTAAAAAAAAGGTCCTCAAAGCAATTAGTGGGGGAGGAGGCATAGCCCCCTATGGTGTCGACGGCCATAAAAGAGGGAGGTGAGACCCATTCCGTAAATGAATTTTTTGTTTATTTAGTTGGCAAAATATATCTTTTTATCTATATATATCTTTCATTGAAAAAGATAAAATAAGCATAAATAGAGAGCGAAAACGCTAAGGCTTTAAATGTCTTTAAAGTTCATCTATACGCTATAGAAAACCTAGCCTTGGTACATATTTAATAACATAAATATATATAACCTTAACCATTATTATGTATAAATATATATATATATATATATATATATATATATATATATATATATATATATATATATATATATATATATATGTATATATATATATATATATATATATATATATATATATATATATATATATTGTAAATATTGTTAAACTACACGATATTTTATTTAAAGTTTTGTTATAAATTTTTTTATCATTTAAAATATTTTTGTTATAAATTGTTAAAAATTTTTTGTTATATTAAAAACTTTTTTAAAAATGTTATTAACTCGTTTTGCACATTTCACTAAGCAAAATCATGCGCAAATTAACATTGTTTTACAACAAAGCTACCGTTGGCCGAACGCGAGTTTTTTACGATGGTTGCATTTTTCCTAAGCAATCCTTCATAAAAATAATGTTACTTAAATAAGCATAACTTTTTTTGTAATTGTTCGTTTTTCATAAAATTTTCACCATTTTAATATAAATTCAAAGCTCTTTCGAACCATATATAATACTTAAATGAATAAATGGTTTAAAATTTTTACACACGTACCTAATATGCCGTTTTAAGCCAAGGTCAGGTCGGCAAAAAAACTTAATAAAAAAATACTTCATAACAAAAATCACATTTATATTTGTAGTATTTTTAAGTTATAATTTTAAACTAATTTGTTGATTTCCAGCAGATTTTATTTCTTTTGATCGTTTTGAATTTAATAATTTAGTGTTTATAGGTGCTTTTAACTTATGTAAAGCGTTAATAAATTTAATCTTCTGATTTTAATGTGTAATAAAGAACATAAAATATTGGAAAAAAGATTAAGTAATAAAAAAAACAAAAAACAGATAAGTAATCTTTGATAAACTTTGTCATATTGCTTTTTTTTTGTCTTCTATTTTTTGTATTAACAGTACCTTTTATCATTAAAATTTTTATTATTGTTATTATTTTTTTATTAATATTGGTTAATTTTTTTATTTACATTATATTTATAAGTTTTTTTTTGTTTAAACATCTTTAAATGGATATATTTATAAAAATGTTTTTATAAAAAACTCACAATATTGTTGTATAACTTGGTTTATTTTAAATGAAAATTTCCTATGTAATGTTTTAAAAATTATTCTTTGTGTGTGTGCAATTTTGAGCAGTAAAAAAAAAAGATCGCAATCTTCAAGATTCTTTCAAGATTTTTTGTTATTACTATCAATTAAAAGTGAAGTTTAAATGGATGATATAAGGCCAGAAGTGGCTATTAGTTTGGAAAATGATGGAAATGTTAATACGCAAGTTGAAAATAATCGTTGTAGAAATGCAAGAAATAGGCTAAAGCAAGATGAAATTAATAATCAACAAATTGCTAGATATGCTGCTCGGTAAGCAGCAAACACTTTGAACTGAAACGAGGAGAAAAAAAAAGGGCAAGATAGACGTCACTATAATCTTGCTTCACATAATAAAGTTGCAGTTGTATTTGTTGGCGAAGATAGTGCTCAACCTGCTTCCAGGGAAGTTGTTATTTTCCCAAGAGGTCATCCTCTTAAAATATATCAAGAATATCTGCCAAATTAGAGCCTATGGTTTGTTCTCTATTTTTTCCAAGGGGTGATGCTGGTTGGCATAATCAATTTACAATCCTGAATGTGCGACAATCAAATTAGTTCACAACCCTGAACGTGCTACATTGATTTGAAATCATGTTACATTATCTCAGTATTATAGTTATGGACTTATAGTTGGACAATTAACCTGAACAAAAAAAATAGGTGAAGTGATTTTTAGTAACTTCAGATCACTTTGTCGTTATTTTACTATTAGATGGGTTAATAATGAAAAATTTTAGACAGTAAAACTGGTACTGATTTTAGTAAGTTTACTATATTTTTTTAATTAATATTTTCATTAGATTTAATAGGTTTATCCTTAGATATATTATTTAACATGGAAAACTGTCTGTGATTTGTTGACAAATAAGTTTATATACATAAATGTGCCTATATCTCAGTATATTTTATATTTCTCTGTATATGAATATTTTCTTTTAAAAAATGTTTATATACACATACTCTTGAATTCCTTTTTTTTTTAATTACTTTGGAGTAAAATATATTGACTGATATTGCTTCAATTTTTACACTTCTAGATTATGTATTGTTGTCTAGATTCTTTGTTAAATTACAATTTATTGATGTAAATAAATTTTTATTTTTGTTTTTGATAAACAACTTTTATCAAAAATAAAAATAAAAATTTATTTAGAGGCGTGAACTTTCTATTAAATTATTATCTGCAGTGCTCTGTGAAAGTCCTTAAGGACTTCTTGGAGCACCTAAAATAAAATTAAAAAAAAAGTTGTTGAAATATAAGAAATGCTGCTCGGCGAGCAGAAAACTTACTTGCCAGAATTCAGTGTCAAGCTGTGTTAATGTGTGTTTATTTGATTTTATTTTAAACATTTAAAACAATGATTTAAAATTTTTTTATAAATTCATACATATTTATGTTCTTTTTTTTAGTTGCCTTTGTTATCCCTTGATTAGTTTGCTTACTGTTGAAACATGGTTTTAATTTTGTAAATTTAATGATATGAAATTTACTCTATTAATCATTAGTAGACAGTTAAAGAGAAGCTGGAACTTTACATAATAAAGGTAAAAATAATTTTGTTTACTCTTAGATAAGAGTTAAAAGAGAATTAGTACATGGAACATCAATAAAACTTATATAATTACTTTTTAGTTAAAAAAAGTAATTATGTAAGTTTTATTAATACCACAATTGATAATGACCATATATATAAAATATTTTATAAGCTGCTTGCTATTTTATGATAAAATTTTTCAATATTGTAATCAAAAAATCTTTTTAGTTCAAGTACTTTAGTTGATAAAATATCTTAATTTTGGTTTTATACGTTATTACGTTATTTACTATGTTAAGTTGTCTAGCCTTTATATAATCTTTTCTTTTTTAATCATTTTGGAGAGACATAGTAATGTGTGCTTACATTATCTTGCGCTATTGCTTACAGTATCTTGCGCTATTGTTAATGTGTTTTGTGTTGATAGAACTGGGCTATTATAGCAAAGTCTTTATATCTTCATTCTACCAACAATAAAATGCAAATAATACTTTGTAATTAAAACTTGTAATTATTTTTCGTTCCTTATTTTAGACATAGGAAGGCTTTACTTGACTTTCTTTTTATGGTACCTGCTGTGTTGTAACAGATTTGAAAAAGAACTTAATTGATGTTATCGTAGTCTTTTTGTTATTAACTTTAATCAATGATTTAATTACTTATAACCCGTATTACGAGTTGCTTACTGCTAATATTCTATGGATTTAATCAGACAAATTTGAAAACCGAAAAGAAGTACAAAGCTAAACCTTTGTTTTTGGATGGAGGAATGTCATTTATATATTTAAATTTGGAAAAATTTGTTAAATTTTGTGGATTATAATGGTTTATTTTTAAAATATTAAAATAAAACTGAGGGAATTGCGGGAAGCAAAGGAACGTATTTAAACTATGAATTTTTTTTTACGAAAATGAATATTTGACTGAATACATAAAAAAAACAGGTTTTCACTTCATTCTTTTGAAATTTTGATTTTTACTTTTGTGGATTCAGTAGATTTAATTAAGAAAATAAGGAACCTAACTTTTTTACGACAAAACCCATTTTTCTGTATACTTACTTAAAAATATAATAAGAATAAAACCCATCAAAACAACAGGTTTCCTCTCATTTATTTTGGAGTCTTGATGCAAATTTGGGGTTATGAAACAAAACAATAAAAATTAAAAAATGGAAAATTACCATCGTTAAATTTACCAAAAAAGAGCTTAAATATATACTGAAAATACAAACCTATATACAAACAAACTAAAGTTTTTTGCGACAACCCCTTTTTTTGTATAATAACTTACTTAAAATTGAAAAGTTAGACAAAAGCATCAAAAACAAGTTTCCACTAAGTTCTTTCGGAGTCTTTTGTTATATTTTTGAAACTTTTGTGAATTTAATCATTAAAATTTCAAAATAAAGAAAAAGCACCATGCTAAACCAAACTAAAAAGGTTAAACATGGTGCACCTACGTAAATCTATATTTTTTGGTAAACGTTTATACAAAAATAAATATTTCATTAAAATTATTAAAAAAGACAGGTTTCCACTG